AGAGAGAGAGAAAGGGGCGATTTACCTTTAAGGAAGTAGAAAAGGCTGACACAACATTTAGTTGTACTATTTGTTGCCGTGATCCTTTTGTTTGCTTTATGGAATTCAACAGCTGTTCTAACACCTGGAGCCTTAAACAAAACCAGAAAAGAAACCAAGAATTAAAAATTAAAGAAACAAATCAACTTTTTAAATTTTACTTTAAACACTTAACAAAGCTTATATATTATAGAAATAGAGGTGGAGCAATTCTATTACCTTAACTCTTGAGCATTTCTTTCAATGGGCATCTTTGTATTTCATATTAGAAGAGGTAATAACTCTAGGTACATGAACTTTTTGCCTTTGTTTCCTTATAACATATGTATTAACGGATAATCACATATCTAAGTAACATTACATAGATGTTATTAAAAGGATCTGCGTATGGGAATTATGCATTTTGACTTATGGTTGAGAAAACAGGAGGGAAAAGAAAAGGAGAATGCATTTATTTGCAGCAATTAGTTCAGGTCTTTAAAACAAGTGAAGAAAACCAACCAGCAACCTGGTGGCAGTAGAGGCAAAAAGCCCAGTCAAACAGAACCCCCCCACCTCTTCAAACAGAGCAGTGAAGACATCAAGACTCAGGACTTGCATGCTAAGCACTCATCCCTTATAGGAAATTACAGAACCCATCACCACCTGTAATGATCATGAACCGAGGTCTAACTACAGTTGGCTTTGAAAATATAGAAATGTTTAACTTAAAAAAATAATTTGTTTGCTCTAATGCTGCATTCAACAAAATTGTAAGCAGCATACAGAATAAGCAACTGCATGCAAAAATCTTCAGGAATTTCATGCCTCAATGATCGCTGTGCCTGTAAACGTGAAACAAACCAAAATGCCATGTGTGCAGGAGGAGGATACATCTGCACACACGAAAACAAGAGAAGTCTGTGATCCCTTTCAAGCATTCTTGTACCTTCACAGAACCGTGTTAAGACACACTCTCATTTCTTCCCATCCACTTTTTTATAAAGAACGAGGCAGAATAAGGGTTAAATTTTACTACAGCTTCCTACTCCTGTTGTCCCTCTGGTTCTAAGGCATTTAGTAATTATGTATTAAGTACTATAATAATTGTGTAATATATCTTAAAATAACTTCTATTTTGATCTGGCTATTGAAACAAAGTATTATTTTTCTTCATCAACAGAACTTATTATAAGGACAGTAACCTCTTACTGGATGCGCCTTTTCACTGTGAATAACTTTAAACAAAGTCTAACAATTTGTTAGTCTGAATTGTATTATTCAGATGGTTTTCAGAATCTACTTACACCACTCATTATTTTTCCAGGATTGTTTTCTCCATGTTCAACCTCAAACACTGTGACCATCTTTTAGTGTCTCCCAAATTCCCCAACAGTTACAGTTACTACTTTACCTGTGAGATTCTGCTACATGGGAAAACGTAACTCCAAAAAGCCGAGTCGCTGCACTGACAACAGACAGCACGGGAGGTAGTGGTTTAGGTACTGAATCACCTTTCGAAACCTTCTCATAAATTGAGTAAGGGTCATACTCCAGGCTGCCCACAGCCATGCTGTTACCTAAAAGGAGCTGTAAGAAGGAAAAAAAGTGATAGCCATATTTTTGACCAAGTCAAAACCAGCACTGACCCAAATAACTAAAACTGTATGAAAATAATAATACCAGCATTATACTTGATTAAAAAGTACCTGCTCTTCGATAAATCGGTGGTCAGTCTCCTGCAGTGAGGGGCCAAGTAAAAGGAGATCGTTCTCATGACAAAGAGGTGGAAGCAAGAATGTAGAGGCATCGATCTGGCTATCTGGGACAGTCAAGTCAGTCACTAACTCTTTCAGAACAGCACAGAAACTTCCTTTAAAGGAAAAAAATATTCAAAATTTTCAGTTAATTACTTGACACAAGTAACTTTAGGAACAAGATATTTATATTGAAATAGCAACATCTATCTAAACATTTTTCTCAAGTCTTCAAATAGTTAACTGGAGAACACTCACTACAGAGGAAAAAACCTCAATAAGCAAACGAAGCACATACAGCAATCTAAAAGCTGAAAAACAGAGAGACCTGTACCTTTACAGAAGGCATAATGCCATACAACTGTTAATCCAGTAAGTTAGTTACATTTACAATTAAAATAGAGGAAAAAGGGCAGTTACAAGCACAGACATATTTTCTTCTGTTTCCTGAAAATGAATGCTGCGGAAAGTATTACATAACCACACAGGAATACTTGGACTTGGCAAGCAGATCTAATTTAAAAACCCCATAAGTCTGATAAATAACCAAAAGCTGCAGAATGTACTCTGCTGTTTCAGGAATTTGCACTCGAAAAGGAAAGCATGAAGAACTTACTGTAGATTACATTATGATAATTTACACTGGTGGTTAAAACTTTCACATTTTTGTACATAATATTTCAGACAAGACTGTACATTAATACATGAACAACAACATTAGGCATTCCAAGTCAGACTGTTTTAGGTTATTAAAATAGTCCCTGCACTGAGAGAACATTTCCAGTGCTGAACCACATGTGATGAGAAAGGTCTGGCTGATCTGTTAAGTAAGCTGCATTGAAAAACACTGCAGAACTGATCATAAAGAATGTACACACCCTTTATGCAAGTACTACAGGAGAATTTACCTCCAGAGCATTAAGATTGCAAATTTAAGTCCTCATGAACTGGGAAATATCAGCATTAAGGGAAGCTCCACTCCACCTATCCAGTTCTTTGTATTTGGTTGTGCTGTCAGATCACCACACAATGACCTGTTTGCACTGGAGTCGCTTGTAATTTTTCAACACACGGAAGTTCCAAAAAGTGGGACGATACAGTTGCCAGCACCTCAAGAGCACAAGCAGAATTATTTGTATAGCTGGAGCAGGGAGCTGCAACCAGCTGTTGAGCCCTTCCTGAATCCAGAATGTGTTCTGAGAAAGCTGAGTTCCTGCCTGCAACCCCCCAAACTCCTGTCCCCATCAGCCTCTCTCCTCTGCAGGTGACTGTTGCTTCTCCTGCCTCCCTGACCAATTAGCAAGTATGTAATTTTTCCCAAAATGCTTAACTCAAATCTAAATGTAAAAACGTTAGCACTATCAAACAGATTCCATGATACACAGATAGTGTGTGAAAGGCACAGAAATTGAGCCTTTTTGAAAAAACACATTAAAAAACCCACATACAAACTGCTCTTTCATTAATTATTATAGATCACAATTTAAAAAAAACAAAAACCAAAAAATAAACTCCTTTCTATGAAAACAGCTTTTCAAATAAAAGTTTAATGGAGATACTCAGCAATTTTTAACCAACTTAAAATTTATTTTAGTCCCAGACACTTGGCCATCCTCAACATGACAAGTAATATTATCCCAATGTTGTGCCAGAATGCTGTTCCAGCATACTAACTATTCTTCTCATCCTATTAAGAAAGAGAAGTGAATGCTTTTACTCAATTTTACAGTTTAGACAATGTAACATAACAAGCACAAAAAGCTGAAGAATGAAAAGAACCCTAATGAGTTGTCTGACAAAACACATTAATTTCAGATCACAGAAAACATCAACAAATCTACTAATCAAAATTCAAACTATTTAAATTATTTGTGTGAAATCATCAAACTGGTCATTATAATAATTAAAATTTCTATATTAACTCACAGGAAATAAATGTTTTAGCCTCAAATGACACGTGAAAAATGATCAAGAATACAAATTATCGTGTTAGAAACAGAACCCGCTTTTCCCACCCTAACAAGTTCATACTTTGTATCAGTTAAATTGCAAAGTCTTAACAGTTCACACCTGACAGAAAACAGCAACTAGAACACATTAAATGTTTTTCACTGAAGTTCAAGTTAACCTAATACATTCTTCTCGTATCTGTCATTGCTGAAACAATGCAAAAAATCATCTACTACTCATACACACTCACAGGAAGTCTTCATAATTCTGCTATTTGAGCAGATATTGATTTGCATTGATGACAGAAAGCAGCAAGAGACACAGAAAGAGAGCAGGAAAGGACCAAGCAGAGCCAAAACAAACCCAAGTACCTCAGGCCTCAAATCTAAAGGTTTGAGTTGAGAAAGAGGCTTGGAGCTATGAATAAATAATCTGTTGTCAACTGTTTATTTTGCTGGGTATTTTGTTTTGTTCCTCTTCTGCTAAAGAAAAAAGCTTTGGACATTATCTGCAAATACTAAAAGCTTGAGTTACAACTCCTTGTATATGTCCCCCTCACCGATTTTCTCAAAAAGAAACAACTTGCACATTTCTAGCCTCTGGCTAACTACTCAGATTAAGGAAAATTAAAAGAAAATAAATAAACCCATGAATTGGTGAAAGCTTATTCAGTGCATCGCTCTGAGCCATGCAAAATGTGCCAGTCCGTGCAACACGAGTACACCTACTACTCTTCCTGGTGGTAATGACTAAAATCAGACACTGAAAAAAGCAGCCTGGGTTCTATATTATCTTCCCAAGTAATTTACTTTAAAAAATCCTAGTATGTGCAGAGACATATAGTTTCTGCATGAAACTGTCACGCTGGAAATAATATGGAAATAAAGTTGTTTTGAGTTTTATCTTAAAAATTTCTTTTGCATTTCTAAATGATGCATACTTACATGTTAAAATTTATAATAGACCTTGAAAATAAGTAATATATACATTTCCACAGGGGAGTTGGACTAGATGACCTTTAAAGCTCCCTTCCATCTCAAACCATTCAATGATTCCCCAGTCTCATACTGCTGCATTACAAACAAGTCAACAACTCAGACTACATCTGTCAAACTACTGTTTTGATTCTAAGGCTATTTACAAAGCTTTCCGCAGGGTCACCACTTATTTATAACAAACCTTTCAAACTTTTTCTTTATTTATTGGTTCTAGATTGCAGCATCCTCAGCTAGGACGCTCTCTCACAAGATTCAGACTTCATAGGTCACTCTGTAAAATACAGTCTATTTTGCAATAAAGTTAAGACCAGATGCAAAAACCCCAAACAAACCAAGAAATCACCAAAACCACCCGCACCCAAATATTCATATTCTATAAAACATTGCCCCTGTAATAGAAGAACCAAAGAAATAGCTTGCTGTGAGGGATGGAGGTGCAATTTGCAGTCTTTTAAGTCCAAGTCACAAATGAATATTATGCACTATGCTTCAAGTGTTATATACAGACTTCTAATGTGACAACAGCTTTAAGGCGAAGAGCAGGGATTTGTCCTTACGAAGATTCCCTCTGCAGTTACCACTAGATGGAGCGGATTATTTGAGTAAGGATCCCCTCTATGACAATTCGGTAGCGGGCTGGCCCATATGCTCTGTCCTGATGAAATGCCCTGTACTTCTCTTTACAACTGTGAAACACTCTGATTCCCTATTTCAGTCCATACAGTACTCTATGGCAAACTATATTCATATGACAATTTAAAGATGACAAAGATATTTAATGTTTTTGTTGAACTGTCAGACCTGTCTAATTACAGTGCACAGCTATCGGATTAGAGGATTAGATTTTAAATCCTGCTACTTATGTTCTGCTACAGAAAAGTGAGCCTACCCCCACGTTTTTTGGAAATTTCGCTTTAAATACTATTTTTTTTTCTCCACAATCTGCATATAATGACTATATCTGTAATATATGTCTACTTGAAGCAATTAAATCAAATTATTTTAACAGACTATATTCAATTGATATATGCTAAGATTACACCTTTTGGATTTAGGATTCAAGGGAAAGTAAAGCAGGCATCAAAGAAAGTAAATTCTTCAAGTAGTTTCAAATTGCAAGGTTGTCTGCCTTCAAGTTTCAGTTACAAATAGTACAAATCTGTATTTGTAATAGGAGAAGGGAAAAAAAAAAAGATCGTGAACAACAGCTTTTCAAAACCATAGTGACTTCACTGTAATTTCATCAAATCTAAAAAGAGAATAAAATTTGTTTCTTAGAAAAGGTGGAACTAATCCTTGCTAGCTGAATATATGTTGAACAAAAACTTAAAAGTGAACCCATGGTATTTTTAGCAGATATCTCTTTGTAAGGGAACACATACCTTCATAGGTCTTTGGAGGCAATACTGCTAGTAATTCATAAAGTTTATGTCTGTAAACCGTTGATGGTGTTTTTAAAGAATTTCCATATGATTTATATATTGAAGAAAGCCTTAAATTATAAAAAGCACATCAGAGATGTTAGACTTTAAGCATTATGCAACACTAGTTTCATTTTTAACACTCTACTAAATACTTTAAAAATCTATACATATTGTAAGTACAGTTTTGGTTAGTATTACCTACAGCAGAAACAAAACAATTTATTTCACATGTTCTGACAGAACCTCTGAACTCCATTCACAGTAATTACTTTTATTTAACACTAATTAAATATTTAAGGCTTTCTGTTGCTTTTGATTATATCTATATTTATTAAAATTAAGTCTTTTGTGGATATACCACTGTAAATTTGAGTTTATAACCAAATACATTAAATCACTACATATTCTGAAGGAAAAAAAAATAAAAATTATAAAACCCTTTCCAGCTTAGCTCTGAATCTAAATATAAAATATGCCCATCTCAAACTTTTAATCCAAGCATATTCTTGAACTTTGTTTTTCTTTTATAAAAAATGACCATGGTTAAGCACAAATGTGTATGTTCAATTAAAAAAACAGAATAAAAACACGAACTTAACAAAAGGATGCAATAGCTTCTTCCCCAGCTTTTGTACATGGAACCACAATCTGCAAGACACATTATGCCAGCTAAAGTCTTCAGCTATACAGCCGAACTCTAGACGCTAATTTTTGTACTTTGAAAAGAAAGTTCTTTACCAAGTGCACTAAATCAAAGAGAAGAAGATTACTCTGTAGCTTTTCAAAACCAGAATCTCATTTAACAGTTTGATACACACACTTACTGTGTCAATAAATCAACAGCACTTGGGAGAGGAGGAAGAAGTCTCTGAACAACTTCATCGGTAAGCAGACCAGCACAGTGGGAAACAAAGCTTTTGATGGCTAGAAAAGGAATGGGATTTTAACTTACTAAGTGTGAGATATCTAGAAGAAAAAAAATCACATAAGTGAAGTAATCACATTATTACCTCACTAATAAGTTAAAATTAGAAGAAAACATGCAAAAAAGAAATTAATTTGACCAAAAATTTAAGAAACCGACAAAAATATATGAAAAAAGTCATATTTACAGATGCATTGCTTTGGTGTCTCAGCTTGGATGTTCACACCCTGACTTTTAATTGCATATACAAATCCAAGCATTTTTTGCTTTTTGTTATGAAATTAGTTATGGGATATAACTCAACTTCATGATAATTCCATTATAATAATAATAATAAATTTTAAAAAACAGGAGAAGGAGGATGATCAGATGACCTACTGCTACTGTGCTAGTTTTCCATTTAAATTTAGCTTAATTACTGTACTTTGAGGAGCAACTTATATGTACACAAGTAAATATTTAAAGGTAATTGTTTAGGTTACTTATAAAGTGAAATTACTATTGAATTCCACACTTTTTAATGGTGAGAGAAATGGGGGATCACTATAACAGGGTTCACATTTCTGCAATACAAAGGACCTTTGAGTACTCTAGAATACATGACTGAAACACATTAAGTGTTTGAAGATCATTGGAATCATCTCTTGGAAACCCAAATTCACAATATTTCATGATGAAAAACTGCAACCTACCAGACAGCAGCCAAACACACAGTACTATTTACTGGCTGAGAATTGCAACATCTTTATTGCAATTTTTACCTGTCTTCCCACCCTCACAAATGTGTTTGACTGACTCACCAGTTCTATTTTGCTTACAGTAAGTAAGTCAGCTATTAGGAAACAGAACTACTATTTACAAAATACAACAGACTGTATAAACAACAGATCATACCCTGGTGTGGGTCCTCATCTACGTTAAACAAGAGAAGAGAAGCAATCCTGATATCCTGATATCATTTACTATTCGGAAATCAACTGATTAGAAGGACAAGAAGAAAAACTCTCTTATATTTTTGTTTGGGGTTTTTTTGGTTTTTTTTTTTTTTTTTTCAAAAAATGAAACACGTGCATATAGATATAGAGATATACATTTAGATAAAAATAAATATATATATCTCCAAGCATTTACATTGGGGAATGAAAACATCCCGTACCATTCAGTTAAAAGAAAAACCCAAACGCAATATGTAGTGTCGTTGTTCTTTCAGAAGGAAAAACAGTGGAACTATAAATGTGCAGATACAGACACAGTAAATCCTGCTTACCACAGAGAGCACCAGCACGACCTTCCAGTGTTACTTGCCAGGTAAATGAATCCCCTCGTGTCTTCTCTGTTTCTAGGTCTTTAGGAGATGACGGAAAGATGCACTTCCACAGTAGCAGCATTCGTGGCAGATGGTGCTGGACAACTGCAGGACCTGTAAGCATTGACAGTTGTCATGCCAATGGAAGGATTAATTAAAAATCAAATTTTCTCTTTGGTTCTTTTATGTATGTTCACAAAAATATTACAGTTGTGAACAAAACTTTATGCTACTTTCCCAGATGTCTCATATATAATTTCTCAAGTTTTTATTGTCTTGTACTCCATTTTCATACATAACTACATACCCACTGACATATTTACAAGTATGTCACCAAGACAACTATAAACTCGGACCCTGTGGATCGCCAGCATAAAAGAGATTTACTAAGTAATAGTGATGTTCAGAAAAGCAAATATTTGTTACAGGTTAATGTACAAGGTTGTACCTTAAAAAAAAAAAAAGTAAAAACTGGGAGCTATTGGGCAGAAATAATAGGTGAAAACATGAGAAGTGCCCTGAAAATATTACCAAAACAGGTAAAATCCATTTTTCATGAGTAATTTAGTGATCACAATCAATAATCTGACCACTAATAAACATCAGAATGTTCTGTAAGATTTCAAATGCCTGACAAGAGGGAAATACATATGACTAGCTCATTTTGTTCTGGGATAGATTTTAAAACATTTTAATGTAATTCGTCATGATCACAAAGACATTCGGTTAGATTGACTTTGAAATTTATCTTCTACATTTAATTAATAGCAGTCCCAGCCAGTTACTATTTTTCAGACATTGCTTCCAATCAACTAATTTGGAAGAAATGAGGCTTTTATTTTAGAAAGTTTTTCTAAAGATTCTGATTTACATTGTTTTTTAAGAATTATTTGGCAGTGCTAAATTAAATGAAACATCAAAAGACCTGAAGTCAGAGAAAGAACATGGAACAGCTTACTTTAGTTGAATAAAAATTGTAGAAAGCTACTACCTAATGTCATGAGGGATGCTATCAACAGCCATCCAGCCTGTGTTCGCTGCAGTGAAATGCGGCTGTTCTGAGAAGCAGAACACAACAAATCCTCTGCTACTGTCATGATCACCTTCAAAGTTAAACAGAAAAACAGAGCATCAGCATCTTAGTAACTACCAAATGATTTTTCAGTACTATTCGCTGTGATACTTAATTCTGTTTCAGTGTCCCCACATAGAATATCATCTTCTCATACTATGGCAAGAAACTCAGGCACATGAAGTTACAATGACCAACTTCAATACTAGTCCGGCACAGCTCCAGCAGTTCCTGTGGGCTGCTACGTACGTTACTTTGCTGCTTTGTCCCCTTCTTTTATCAGCAGTAAAATAAGAGCTGATAATTCTCACAGGAATATATGTAGCAAAAATAAAAGTGCTATGATACTCTGTTCATGCCACTATGCACAAAAAGGATAGCAGGAGACCTACAAATTAGAGCTCAGAAGAAGTGGTGAAAGGGGTAACGATCTTTTTATCCCTGTTTTAGAATAAGGTCTATTATTCTCCTTCAGTTTTTAATCAACAAATGGTATGACTAAATAAACAAGTCAGAATGGTATGGTATGGTTAGAATTACTCCTACCTTAGCTTCTCCACAATAACTGCATGTGCCTATTATTATGTGCTAAATGCAAGGTGACCATCTCTGCTTGTTACCAAAGCCCAAGCTACCTAGAATTTAAATGGAGGAACACACAGTGTGTCCATGGACAATTACCACAATATGACTACAGCTTCAAAAAGTATTCTGCAAATGGTTTGTGTCAGTTATGTTTCACATACACACACACACAAAAAAAAAGAGTATTTCTTACATCTTGTGTTATGTCTGGTTGCCAAAACAAACTGCTTGTAAATTAGTATTACAGTAAGAAGTGTCATTATCAATAATATCATTAAGATATTACTGATTTCCTTCTATAGTTTTTTTTGCACGATAGAATTTATTTGGACAGTACAGATAGCTCCTTTATTCAAAAAATTATAAAGCTTCATGGAAGTTTGCACACGAAAGTCTGCTTCATGAAAGCTGGAAATTTGTACACTTCCAAAACTCCATGGAATATTAACTGTCTGAAAATACTAGCTTCTCCAATTCCATAATGCTATCATATGGTTGGAAATGAAGTAATTTATTCTGACATTCTTGATAGATTTAAAATACTTTATTCTAAAATTAAGACAGCACCTTTGTTAATTTATACTATTAAAAATTACTAACAGCTTTGTATACTTAAATTCTCTCATAAACAAGCATCCTAGAAAGGATTTCATTTAATGATTTCTGATAATTTTTGCTCTATGTACTAGGAGAAATATCTCATTTTGAAGGATTTTTTTGAACTGAAGTATATACACTAGTACAGAATGCTAAATATATACAAACCCGCTAATTATTTTGTTCTCTTGAATAGGTTCCACCTGCAACTCTAACTGCTCTCTCAAAGGAAAATGTATTAACACAAAACAGCTTCTCTCCAGGTCACTACCATCTACATTTGATATTTTCTTTTCAAAACTGCTCTATTTAACACTGGTCTCTTTCAGCTCCTCAGAAGAGGAGCTAGTCTGGAATCTGGCAGTGTTCCTAGGAGAGAATGGAAAAGGGCTTTTGTCAGCTCCTCTGTTCTCCCCCCTGCCAGCTTAGTACAGAGTACAGTGTTTCTCCCACACTTTTCTGTGCCCTCCCCTACCTTCTCCTGGCCCTATTTCATCCTATTCTATTCTAAAATAAATCTTTGTTAAGAATTACATTTCTCTGTTAAATAGAAACTTTAGCTCAGCTTAGGTGTATAGTATTTGAATGGCATTTCTTATCCAAATCACTGGGCAAACAATACTCATTTTGTTCTCTCCCCATAGTCTTTCAGTAATCACAAAGAAAAGTTTTTAAAAGCTAAAGAAAACAGGCGTTTTTTGTTTTTACATTTACAAATTGTTTCATCAGTAGCTGGGACTTTGAATATTGAGAACTGTAGCTAGCAATGTCTGTTAAGAAGTGGTTTGGAACTGCTAATATTCAACAACGCTGAAAGGGTGGGCTGGAATCACAGCAAAGGACATTTTTCCTAATGTACTAAAGCATTCCTTTCATCCAACAGTGGTGCAATGGCAAGAAAAACACCACAATCCTTGTGTCAGAGTGTGACGCTTCTTCTCTAATAGGTTTTGGCTCCGAAGCAGGTATTTTCAGAACTGAGAATGTAAGTTTCTACATTATGCAGAGAATTAGCATCTACTGCTGGTATCTGTGTTGCAGCATGGTTTTCCAACTGTGAGTAACTCCATGGAGAAAACTGTCATTGAGCTGGAAACAGCTTCTTCTCCTGGTCTGTATCTCTGTATCTGCATCTCCCTATCTGTGCTAGTGGAGAGACTAGTACACCATCTTAGACAACGTTAATGCAACAAATTGGTTTCTGTTAAATTCTGTAAACCAAGATGAAAACGTGTATCTGTTGGATTTGATTAAAGATTTTGTTGGACTTGACCAAAGATTTTCAGGATAATATATAATTGCTGTTACTGGTGCAAGCACTGACTAGGCTGTTCAATGGAGAGTCACTGATGGCATGGAAAATATTAATTTAGCTTAATCTGTGGTTGAACGTGTTTCCTTCCAGGAAACTTATTTCCATTTCATTCAATAGATCTGTATGTATGCTTCAAATTATTTTTTTCATAAAATAAAGATCTTTTCCTTTGGCAAGGTCAGCTGTATGTACTCCAGACTGACCTTTTCTTGCCATTAACGCTGCTGAAATATCAATTTTCTAATTCAATCCAATGTCAAACCGTGTCAGAATTGCAGAAGGTTTGATCTTGCTGTAAAGAATTTAGTTCGAAATTCTGAAAAACATAGCTCTACACAAGAAACATTTTCTCCAGGTAAACCTTTTCTTAGACCGTTAAATTTTAAATAGCTCCACAAAACTGACCTGTCCCAAAACAACAAACAAACTTCTCCATAAGAAAAAGGTAGCGGTGTGAGTGGTTAAAGTTCACAATCCTGACACAGGTGAGAAAAACACTTGCTTATTTGAGTTATGGCATGCTTCAAAATCCCCTTCCTGAGGAAAGAAAGTATCTCACCAGTATACGGGGTTATGTGATCGTGTCATAAAGAATACATGCAAATACTAGTGCAAAAACATCAAAGAACTGCCTTTAAGTAAAATATTCACACCATACCTTCCCTTTTCCATGTGGAATTCCTAAAGGACAGTGTTTCACTGCACCCAGCAATGCAGCAACAGCAAAACTGTAACCAGTTACTGCTTCTGGGGAGGATTTCAATGCGCTAAGACGTTCAATGCAACGATCCAACAGGAGGGACACATACGAGGGCAATGCTACTGCAATGCAGCGCAAACACCAAGCTGCTATTAGTCTAACTGAAATGCTGGGGTGAAGAATGACAGAAATTACTGCTTCCAGAACTCCTGAAAAATAAAATGCATAAACACACTTAAAAAATATGCAAGCAGATTGTCAAACAAGCAAAAATGTATACTGAGGACTGGTGAACATACCATTATCCAGTTTCTGTACTCCTCCTTAAAAAGTACTACTGATTTTTATTGTGAAATGTTTCTTAGCAAATTTAAATACTTCAATATTTTTCAAAAATTGTTACCTTGAATTAAAAGTATGGAGAATACCTAACACACTATGCAGTTATTCACCAATATGCATAGAAAATAAGTATTCTCAAGGAAGCAAGTGGAAACAGATGTCCACTTGACCCATCTATAAAAAAAAAAAATTCTCACTGCAGCTAGATGAAAACAATAAAGGTAGATAGATGAAGATATCCAGCACAATCCAACTGATTTACTAGAAACATTACAACATGTTGGACTTTAAATACAACCCTTAATGGAGTTAAATTTGATACTGTTTTTTTTTTTAATTAACATACTAGTACAGGCCAGAGAAGATACAGGCAAGGCCTGAAGACTTCCTACAGCATGTAAGGCAGCCAACTTCCTTTTAAGATTAGTGAAATAAAACAGAAGGTCCAGGTGAAGAGACTGCAGGCCAGAAGAAAGGTTGCTGTAGTCAGTGTCAGACAAAGGATCCTAACAGATCTGAAAGAACTGACAGTCTAGCCATAAGAAATCAGAGAAGATCACAGTGAACAACAGAGTATATTTTGTACTCTGGTTCACAAAACAATTCAGGGTTTGTACCTGTACTGGAGTCTTGCAGTAATGGTGCTGCTGTAGTTCCTAAGCCATGGATGAGACTTCCAAGTTCCTGAAGTGCACACACAAGAACATGCTGACTTGCTGTTACATCTGATGTACTAATTCTTGTTTCCAAGTTACTGTCACTCATTGCAGCATCTAATAATATATACATGAAATCATCACCAAAATGAAACAAACAGAGCAGAAAAAGGATTTTGCTGTGATAACTTGCTTATATTACCAAATGAGCTTTTATCATTACCATTTTTATCACTGACCAATCTGTTTTCATAAAGGTTTACCTTCACTGAGATGAGTACACCCTTATTACTCAAATGGATAGTGTAGTAATGCCTGTGAGGGCAGGAGGGCAGATAAAATGGAAACCACCAAACTGCTCATCTTTAAGTGACGGGGAACAGCGGCGTAAGAAGTACGCTACTCTGAGCCTCACTGAAAGTGACCTGAAGGGGCCACGCTTTGATATAACTTGCTGGATTTTACTACATAGTAGGAAAAAAGAAAGGGAAGGAAAGAGAGAAATACTGTGACAGCAAGCGAGACAGGGAATAAAGAGAGAGGGAAAAATTTGGAGTTTTTTTAAAAGTTCAGCTTTTGAGATACAAATGATTGTGTCATTCAGGTGTCTAACTAGGATAACAATATGCAGCTGTATACCAGGTGACAACTGGTTATGCCCAGCATTCTCTTTCATTTCGCCTGAAAGGATGATGATGGGGGATCAGCAGCTTTTTTTGGAAGCTGTGTACAAGACACTATCATGCCAGAAATCTGTTTTCTTCAGGAGAAATACTCATTTTGTCAATTAGAAACAAATGCTTCTTTTTTGAACCAGCAGTAGTGTCAGTAGTGTCCTGTTCTGAACAGGAAGGCAGAATCTGGCTATATATTAACTGCCGATTTAACTTACTTTACAATACTGTCTATATTTTACTCCTGTATATATTTATTAATTTATTATATTTGTAATTCATTAAAATTATATTCACCAGGCACGACGTGTTAAAACACGTGTTTACACTTGTGTGGGTACACACATGCAGTAACACAGACACACAAACAAATATCCAGCCCAAGTTAAAAACAAAGCAGTCCATCAAAAGCCCTCTGCATTATTATGGTAATCAATCAGCACTACATATTCTATTTTCTGCAGTCTCTGTGTTATGAAGTTGGACAATCACTTAAAAAAGGAAATACAGAGGCCCAAATGGATAATCTTGTTAGATCCATACCCATAACTTTCTTCAGTTTCCAGATGGCCTGACAAATCTCCTTGGCAGCTGCAATTTGAGCTTTTTCCCCAAGAAGGCCTCCTACTGTAGCTCGAAGGATAAATGAAACACAGCGGCGACAGCCGATAGCATCCATCTGACTCTGAATAGCCTTAGGGTGAGACTGAGACACTAGATCTAGGATATGGGAAAGGAAGGCAGAGAAGTTCCTTTCAAGCCATTGTGCTCCTAATGTAGAGACAAATACCACATATGCCTGGAAGAGATTTGAAAAGAAGATATTTCGTATTTAAGAGCAAAATCACCTGGAAAACCACTGCCAGCTATTCCACATCCATATTTTTTTTTAACTCTCTGCACATTGCCACAACTAGAACATCACTAAACTGAGATTATTTATACATTTATGCATCCATAAATCACCTTCTCACTTTCAGGTAGCTGCTTTTTTTTTTTTTTTTTTTTTTTTTTTTTTTTTTTTTTTTTTTAATCTTTTAATATCATTGAAGTTGCTATCAAAACTGTACAAGCAATATTGCAGCCTGTTTTGACTGTAAGTGAATTCAAGCTGCTTGCCCATGTTATTTCATTCCAGAGCGTGAGCAATGGCAGTCTACCCTGCACAGGCACTTGTTATGTAAAACATTGTGTTTGGTCTCACTGAACAACAGCTTCCAGCTATTTAACATTCTGCACACGGAACCCAAATTTAATGTATGAATGCATTTTAAGAACTACCATGTTACAAAACTATAACCCATAACCCTGCGAGAATTTTGTTATTATAGGCTTTGAATTAGGGAATATTTTCAGCCTCCAAGCACTGCTCTTCATGTCAGTGAATTGTAACTGTTTGCCTTGAAATGCAGGTACCGTAAAAAGACTATGTTTGTCACAACAAAGAGAAAGAACGCAGAGTGACTCTACAAATCTAATCACCACAAGACCATTTATTTTGCCACATCATATGCTCCCTTACAAGTGCCTTCCATGTGCATGTGTTGGATTTTTTTTTTTAATGAACAGATGTGCTACCATCAAGAAAAGGGAATTCAAAAAATGAGAATATGCAAATGAACACACAAAATTCCTCATAAGAAAGTTCACAACTACTACCCATATCAATGAACTTCTGTATTTGCCTCATACATGCTTTGCCTCATGTCTAACATTAACAACTAAATTATTCATGTAAAAGAAAGTGAAGTACTGGAGATAGAGAAATTGTTCCTGTTAGCATCTAACAGCTCTTGACAAATACTACTTAGGCTTTATAATGTAACAGTATATTACCCTGTTTTACAGCTTTGAAATCTGAGGAATTTAACAGGACAAATAGACTTGTGAAGAGTCTACTGCCATGGCTACATCTGGAACTACATCTTGAATCTGGCTGCGTCTTGAACAAACAGGTACTACAGTGTTAACATAGAAATGCATGAAAAAGGAGACAACCTCCAAAAAACAGCACAAATAGTCAAAACACTGAACTGCAATATCTATTCCTGGAAAACTAATAAAACCACCATGTATATAGAACACCCTAGGAGTCTGGCATGCATTTTCTAGGCAAATAACTGTCAAGGTATTATTGCTCTCCAGCTTTTCTGTCTCTCTGCCAGAAGTTAATGCTTTCACCCAGCATGATCTGAGCACAGACGACAATTTGTGAGCACCTTCTAGCTGTTTCAGTGCAAAGTCTGGCAGCTTCTAGCAGTAGTTCAAGCTAATTCACAGACGTTTTGCACTGTCAAAGATGAAATGCACTGAAAAAACTCCCTTACTGGCAAAGGGGACGTATCAAATAGCTGTGGGGACTGTAATACACTAAAATAATCACAGCTGTTTGATATGTAAATGTTCACCATGACCTGTAGTCTTGATTCACAGGTTTAGTATTTGAATATCTAGGTCTCAGCATGTAAATGCTGTCTGGAAAAGGCCAATCTGATATTATCTGAAAAATGTGTACTGTTTTTACCAGCACGCGCTGTATCGTCTGAATTACGTCCTGCTCAGTTAACAAGATTCTATCCTCTAACTGAGCATCCTGGGACACAGCAAAACAGATATTTGGGTTTTTTTCCCCACTAAAGTCTGTTTTCCTTATTTTTCACGCACGTACTCAAAGCAGAGCCATTCTTTCTGAACGGGACTGAGAAAGTCTCTCTATAGAAAGAAACCATTCGAAGTTCAGAAGATTCTTGTAACTTCTCCCTTTCATTTTTAGACATAAGGTATTAAGTTTTAAATTAAAAATTTGAGGAAAGTACTTATTTATATCACTTATTTGAAGTTCATACCATGTGAAGCTTTCACAAGTAAACCACATATAATTTTGAAAATTTCAAACTATCAGGTAAACGATAAGCAAAATCAGAAATCTTTTTTCTTTTCTTTCTAGCATAACTCAAGATGTAAATCCTTATTTTCAATTACACATATTTAGTCACACATACAAAAAAGGATGAAATAAGACATATATGGAGAGCAAAACAGTTATTACAGCACTGTTTAACAATCACAGAAAAATAATAAATAATGTAATCCAAACCTGAGTGACTCCAACTCTAACATCTCTGCTGACTGAACTGGTCCCTTTCAACATATCGCCACTGGCTCGTAGAAATCCACAACTTCCACGCAGAAACCCAGTTCCCAGTAGCTCCATCACTTCTTCCAAAGAGATTCTGCGGAAGTTATGCCTGGTGGATGCTAAGAATAAATGTAAGTCTTTAGAGGAATAGCTCCATAAAAATTGTTATCTTATAGAAGAATTTCAACTCTAATCATTTTAGAAAAAACAATTTGCACAAATTCAGCAGAACAATCAAATCCAAATACAGTTTGACCATAATTTCACAACAGAAACTAAGACATTCTAGGACTCGGTACTCCAGCAACGACAATATTTCTCAAGTTTTTTCTGCTTCAGCTATCTTTAAATATTTTAGACCATCACCTAATATGTTTACATATATTTACCCTCCCTCAGTATTTAGCATCTAATCTCAGCTCCCTTTGCAAACAGACTGTATGGTGTACTTCTACCACCTGAAGCTTCATGAAAGCCCTGTCTCTAAGTCATTCCAGTTCACTGCCAAAGGCAACCTTCTATTCCAAGAGGGTGGCTTACCTTTGCACTAGGCTTAGCCAGATAAGGCCACACCTACAGGTTCTCTTAGAAACAAAAGCATCTCACCTTAGTATGAAATTAGCTCTTTAGAAGAATAATACAATATGTTTATGATCTTCTAGGAAAATTATTTATCCCCAATTCCCATTCTGTTGTTTTATTTCTTGATACAAAGTTCATTTAAAATACACACTGGGACATGTGTGTGCAAATTTAGCATGGTGACTGCACACTGTGCAAACTAGGTGACCTAAAATTTTCCCTGCATTTTTCATTCTTTTCCAAGTATTGAAATGGGAAAATGAATGAGATTTGAGATAATAATGTCTAAAAAACCCCCCCAAACCAGTATCAGCAGGTTATGAGATACAATGCAGAAACTTCAGGACTATGCACTTCATGTCGTGCTCCCTCCACCTCTCCCTTAGCTCCTTCTAGCCCCCACCTAGCTTCTGTCTCACTTAGCTCTAACTTCTTTTTAACTAAAAATAACTAAAATAACTAAAAATAACTAAAAACAACCAATCAAACAGTTGATGAGTTGCTTCTATAGCCTTATCTCAGCACTTCAGAAATATAACTACATTGCTTACAAAGATTAAAGAAAACTACTGAGTCTATACAGAGGTTAGAGTATTTTTTTTTTTACTTTATTGGGAAAAGTGCTGATTGTTTTTTCTAACACAATAATTCTCTCCAAAAGATTATTAGAAAAATAATACTTTATAAATCAAGACTTCAGCATCTCCAATGCAAATACACAGCCTCAAGAATCCTGAAAGGCACCAAGCTGTGCTTAAAGCCATGTACTTTTGTCATTTGCTGCTTATGGCACTGAAGGTCTTCTCTAATGCCATTAAAAGCAGAACAGTCTGAATCACACATGCTCTGCATCCTGTTACATTTTGCTTAGATTACAGTTAGATACTTAGCTTGGGGCTCCTAAGATTGGACTAAAAATGCCCAGTCTGAATGATACTGAAGGTTGAAGACGTTAACTTTGTGCCAGGTTGCTTTAGTCACATTAAGTACTGTCTGTCAGCAAAAACTGTAACATGGTCTGTTGAGTGAACAAAACTGTATGCTCATTTCTGCTTCTGGTCACATTTGTACTGCAAGACAATCCAGATGTGGTATTGATGATTGTGGAATAACAGCTTGAAGACATCCTTAACTCTTTATTTTGACAAAGAGACACTCCCTCAAAGCCTAATCCTTCCTACACTGCTGAAACTGATCTTGCCTTTAAATTCTTGAGACTACTAATTTTTCTCCATACAATTACAATCTTATAACAGAGAAAAATACCAATTTTTTTTCTTGTTTATTATTTTTATTTATATAGATATATACAGGTTAACACAACCAAAAACACAGTACTTGACAAGAAAGATGTTACAAAAAATACCAAACCAGAGATAGGAACAGCCAGACAAAACTTAGATTGTGATTTTACTTTGGGCTTCAACAGAAACTCTCAAGTTCTGTTGAAGCCCGAAGTAACAAATCTGACAGGTTTTTACAGATGAGGAATCAGCAAAGACAATACATACTTTACCTGTTGTCTGTTTAGCTGTTAGAGCTCTAGCCAATACTGTGCCTAAAAGTTTTGAAACTGCTAATCGTACATCATAATTGGAACCTTCAAAGGATTTAAAACACAAGGTCACAACACTATCCAGGTCTGTAGTCCACATAAATACTGCTTCATTCTGAAGTTCAAGAAGACACTAGACAAAAAAGGAAAATAAAAATGGTTTGATGTGGAAAAGTGCTCAGTACAAATTTTAGTTTGCTACAAAATACACCTAACAAAATAAGCACGTTGCATCATACTAAAATTACTTGAAATTTTGCTGCCAGGGCAATACCAAAGAAATAAAGATAAGCAAAGAATGTATTTACTGCTGTGTTCATCACTCATTAAAAGAGAATTTTATTTACGAAGCTTACTTAATAAAAACAGCTATTGGAGTACTTTACCTTTGCAGCAGCACAACGGACCGCCATGGATCGATCTGTCAAACAAGATCGGGCAGCTTTGTAAATATCTCTGTGACAGGAGAGAGCAGCAGCTCCTAAACCATTTAATATATTTTGCAAACTAAGCATGATTTCATAACGACCTTGAGACTGAAAAATTAAAAAGAGAAATGTTAAAGTTTTGTAACCCTCAGCTCCTTGGAAATACAAAATGCCAACTACTAAAACAGGTAAACAATGGTTTGGGTCTTTTAGAGACCTTTTTATGTGGAAGTGCATTTAAGCAGATAATTTGCTCTATAACACTATAAGCAAGTGAAAACAGTAATTCTATGTTCTACTGGAAAGTACTCTACTCACTAGCAGTTTAAAACTCAAAATGTGAAGTATGAGCTGGAGCAAAAATGTTCTCATTAATAAGGCAACTAGATTTTCTAGCTTATCAAGTTCTTTCATGAAATCAGCTTGAGAATAGCTATGATCCATCCTTTTGTAGTCATAACTCATTAACTCTCCAGTAACTCTTTGGAATTTAGACATTAATTTTTATCCAATGACTTCCTGCAATTTTTTCATATTCTGGTATCATGCACTTTCTCCTATTCACTGGTCCAGCTGCCAACACTAAACATCCTATTATTTTTCCAATCATTTTTTAAACATGCTGTTCCAATACCTCTGCATTCTTCATTGCTTTAAGCACATTCCCAACGGTGTCAGTAAAACTGTTTCCCAAAATTCTTCCCAATTTTTTGTATAAATAGCCCAAGCATACCACCGCAGCACTAAAACAAAAGCAAATCCAAAGACGCGTGAAAATGGATGCAGTAGTAGATGGAAGGGATTAAGACAACTAACATAATCAATGGGTAAACAACAAAACAACCAAACAGAATGTCCCAAAAATTAAGTGGATTATCACAAGGGGAAAAAAAAAAATAATAATAATAATAAAAAAAGGTCTGTGTGTGGCAAGGGTTGGGAAAATAACTTGGATAATATAAGAATTCAAGTAAGACAATCTTCCAATAAATTTTACAAGAGGAATACAATTTCCATATCCACCTTTAAACCTTAATATCAGTTTCTAACTAAGCATGCCCTGCATCATGCTGTCTACGGCACTGTGCTACAGCAGATGCTGCAAGAAGTAGTCAGGAACAGGTTTATTTACAACTCCAAGATTAATAGTAGATTGCGAATGGTCTAGTAATTAAAATTCTGGCATTTATGTATAACAATACATAATAAAGAAACACCTTGAAGGAAATAAAAGTATAAGCCCATGTTCTTTTCACAGCACACAGATCCTAAATTTAATTTCCAGGTGAATAACCTGACAACTACAGTCTGTGTGTTCATCAGCATCTCCTTTACCAAACCCAAAAATTGCTAAATATTAGGGGGGAGGGGAGGAGTTGCTTAATTAAAGAGTGTTTTCCTTTGAATAATTAATTAAGGAAAACACTTTGCTTTTATATTGATAGATCTATAACTAAACAAATTAATTTTATGAATACAAGAAAACAAATTATGTCTTTAATCAGCTTTCAGCTCTTTGGCCAGACCTACTTCAATATGCAGTGACACTGCTCTGCACCCCCTTCAACAAAACAAAATTTTACTTATTCCCCAACAGAATTCAGGTTTCACACAAAGAATTTTAAAATCCCATACTGAACACATTCTTAATTAGGAAAATGCATTTAATATTAACAGCAATTCCCAAACTGAGAAAGCACAATAAGAAAAATGGAACTGATATTTTGTATCTCCTATCATATCATAATCCTATTTTTCTTAAAGCAACATTTTTCATTATTGCTTTTATCCAACTCAGTATATACCAACAATTAATTTTGATCATGATGTAGTTAGGCATAAAATTATAACTGCACTATCTTACTACTAAATTGATTATTTGATGGCCACAGATACCCTCTTTAATTAGCTTTAAGACTAAATAATATACATTTCATATCTTAATCCAAGGAAGGAATATTTACGAACTTATTAAAAAACCCCCTAACAAACCAGAAGTACCTTATTATATCCTGGTATAACCTGCAAACACTCTTACTTGGCTGTATTGTCATGCGCTTAAGTGTTACATGAAAGAGTCCACCAGTGTTGAACAGTGATGTCTAGCAACAAATTGGCCCTCTTTGTTGAAGAGTAACATCTAGTCAACTAAGGATGAGAATATAGCTACTTCTGCATGTCAATATTTAAGTTTCTATAAAACTTCAAAGTATAGGACTTAGGAAGCTCTTCTGACTGCCTTCTAGGATTGTATCATGACTCCAGTTGTCTATTATTTTTTCCACAACTGTATTAACTATTGAGTCACTTTATCTGTCAAATTACAAGCAACAGGCAGAAGTTTGAAAGGAAGCCTGTAAATTTATTCAAGTTTTGCAGGGAAAAGCCTCTCTGCCTGTGCTTTTCCCTCCCTGGCAGCACACGTCCATTTTGATTTACGACTCCCTATGTATATTTAAGTTGTTTTCTCTCAAATTTTGCCTTAACAATTGTACTTGGAGAGGTACCAAGAAAAATGCAGAACGAAGATGCTAGACAACATGAGCACATAGACTAAATAAGGACAGATGGCAAACAAAGACACCACTTTAATCAAGATTTTAAAAAAGGAAAAAGAAAAGCAGTCTTTCTTCACTGAAGATGAAGTATTCTTGCAGCCCAAGATGAAAGATTTTACTCAATAGAGAGTTCTGTAGTTTCAGTTATTTTTCTGTAGCTGTTGTCTCAGTGTCAGTACTGTAACAAATCCCTTTTCCAAACCTTTTTTGAAGTAAACCATATTTTACTGCTACCTTTTCTCCACTTCAACTCTTATTTCCTCTCCTCACTACAGCTTTCATACCCAGCAGGGTTCTGAGCACTGCTTCCTCTCTCTTTCTCCTTCAGCTACTCCTCTGCTTCCTGAGTTGGATATCTGCCATTTCTGCCTGCCTTTGCCATTTCTGCCTTATGGCCGATGGACTCATCATCCCTCCTTGCTATGCCAACATCATCCCACTTCCTGCAGTGTGGCATCCTGCAGCTGAAGCAAGGAAGACCCGCAGAGCTCCGTCCCATACTACAACTCACCTACCACATTAACACATTTCACTGTTGAGGAGCCAGCAGTATAGCAGTAGTCTACTTTGCAGGATGACTAAGACACTTTATAGCAAACTTATTCTTAACTCAAAAGACTACACAAGAGGTCAATTGGAAAAGAGGGAAACAAAAAATATTATGGTGGTGAAAAATACAATTAATTTTTGCACAAATCATTTTCAGGAAACTTCAGTTGGGTTGTCAGAAACAGGATTAGCATGTGAAGCAAAGGAGAAAGACAGATTCTGCTCTGCTTTGCATACTGTACCATTAATGCACAATGATGTTTTACTACCTCTACCTTTAAAGATAAATTTTCTTCACTACAGTGAAAGATGTGCATTGTTTCAGGAATGAAGGTTATTTATGATATTTCTGCACCGTAAGATTTGGTTTCACATCCTGCAATAACAGTTTCCCCTTCTCTGCTCTGCTGGCTAGGCTTTAGGTGTTTAGTTACAAACATTTCACATGTTCCTAACTAACTACATCCACTTCCCCAGTTTGATTAAGAAATGTACTCAAAACCTGTATTTTGTAGCTGGAGCTGTAGTCTGTCTTCTCAGCACTATTATTACTTTCTCCTTGCTTTTCAAACACCTGCCCCCTCATAACTCTACTATCCACTGCTGGCATTCTCTCTGGCCTCGTTTTCAGTTTTCTGGATGGAGATGACCGTCTTGTACCCTTTTGGTTCCTGACAGATACATACAATATCTAATACTACAACATTCTTTGTTTTATTATGTATCCTGTGGTAGTGAACTCAGATGCATCATGTCAGGTATGTATTTTTTTTCTTTTACTAATGTTAAGTAAGCTATTTCTGAAAAGCTTTCTTCACCTTTCTTGCAACAAGCAGTGTTTGTTTGACTTGCTGTAAAGCACGGTTTATTCAATACGGTAAGATGTATTGCAAGCTGGTTTTGTTCCCTCAGTGAACAAAAACACAAAGCATAAACCAGCCTCGGTTTACTCTATTACTTTAAAGCATACTCTGGTCATCATAGTGCTGAATGATAGCAACAAGTTTAGTATTCTTACATGCCTAAATAAATTAATTTAGCTTAGCTTTCAAATCACTCAAGGCATTTCTTTGCAACTGATCCAGTAAATACTGGCTAGCCAGGCAGGTCAACTTTTATTCTAAGATACGCAACGTACACTGACTCACACCAGCCATCAAATCGCCTCTGCGTTAAATACTTCAAAAGTATTTCAAGTGATTTTAAAGTCTTTTAATGTGATTGATTTTATGTTGTATTTATGTGAGTCGTAACAAGAAACTTCTAAACAAGGAGGAAAAATACATTTTAAGCTTATTAAACTTTAAAAGGCAATTTATATTGTAACGTACCGAGCTGACCTTTTTTCCCCCCCCAACATGCATCTGAACTTCTTACTTGAAACTTTCCAGTAAAGACACAGAAATGAATATATAAAATGCTACACAAGTACTTAACCACTCATAATTCTGCCTTGAAGGCAGCATATATTAAATGATTAAAATAAAATTGTTATAATACCTAGAGGGAAGGAAGTAATTTAAATTTGCTTTCAGGTTTCACAAGAATTAATTTTCTCTTTGTAATACTCAAGTCTAAAAATTTTTGAGATGTAATAACAAAGAAGAAATTACTTTTCACAATTGGATCCATCAACAATAATGATACTAATCAGGGAGGCTCCCAAATTCTCGTGTCATATGGTACAAAGCTTCTACTGGACAACGAGCAGAAATGAGGGAGCATACCCTCTCCTGCATTAATTTCTCACCATGTAAAACTGTCTCTCTTGTTATTACTGAATTTGAAGTTTGGGGTTAAAAAACCATACTTACAGTTTTGTAGGCAGATAACTTGGTGAATCATCTTTACTCCGAATGAGTTCATTGCATTTGTCAATTGTTTGGTAAACAGAAAAAGTCTCTCCAGTACTATAAAGCACAGCTAAATTCTTGGCAATAAGCCGTCTGGTAGGAGGTCCTGGTGAATTGTTTAATAAAGAAGTCAATTGTTCAACCAGTTTCTTCTGATTCTCCCTTATATCAGCCTGGAAATAAAAAAAGTAACCAGTTAAATTTCAGTTAAACTTAAAAGTTAGTTAAAGATAATTAATGATAATTCTCTTTTCTTTTAATTATTACTGTTCTCATACGCTGACATTCTTAACTAAAACCAACTTTTTATTGCAGCTTTCTACTTAAAGAAAAGCCATCTCAAATATGTGATTAATTTATTCTTATTTTTTTTTAAAATCACATTTTTTCAGAGCATAATTCTTTCTGTAACTCCTTCTTTCAGGAGTATTTTCCCTATGGCACTTGAATATCTTGCTAAAATGAAACTGCCACTTCTTGCTTCATTTATGCTTGTTTCAAAATACAACAATTCATAGAAACACAGTAATTTAAGTAGTGAAGAACTTTATCAGAGTTTCAAGAAGTTGAGCATTAGAAAGGAAAGAACTTCCCTTAAAATAATCATCTATTTTAGTCTTATCTCAATTTTTTGAAATGCTCTTAAAAAAAAAAAAAAAAGAGCCTGGCACTGTATTTCATTTACATATTTTAACACAAATAACACAACCCTTAAATAGCATTATCAAGGTTGGTTTACTGTTAAATATCCACATATGTTACTTAATATACACTAAACAGTGAACCAAACAATTGGACAGTTGGCTAGAAACAGATCTTCTATCAATTGATTC